CTGGAGGTGTGTGTGTGTGTGTGTGTGTGTGTGTGTGTGTGTGTGTGTGTGTGTGTGTAGGTATGTTTATTCTTGTGAACATCCAGTTCCTCTGGGAGACCCAATTTAATTAACTCTGTGTTTGCAGACCTTATCCTTTAATTAATGTGGATTAGGTCTGGTTAACTTATTTGAGGAAGTTTGCTAATTTTAGTTGATTATCTTAGTTTCAGCTTGTCTGTCAGTTACCTAGTGGAGACTCTGGTTCTCAGACTATTGTGGATTCTGTTAATGTTTTAGGGGGAAGATGGAAACAGTATAAAAAATGAAATATATTTGGATATAAAACTTCTCACACTCTGATGTACAGATAGCCTTCGATTTACAACCAGTCATTTAGTGACCATTCAAAGTTACAATGGCACTGAAAAAAGTGACTTTTGATCATTTTTCACATTTATAACCGTTGCAGCAACCCTGTTAGTTACATGCTTAGAATTTGGAAGCTTGGCAACTGGCATGTATTTATGACAGTTCCAGTGTCCCAGGATCTGATGATCTTCTTTTGCGACCTTCTGACAAGTAAAGTCAACAGGAAAAGTTGGATTCACTTAACAACTGTGGCAAGGCAGGTTGTAAAATGGGGCAAAATTCATTTAACAACTGTCTTGCCTAACAAGAGAAATGTTGGGCTCAATTGTGGTTGTAATTTGAGGACTACCTGTAATATGTTATAGGAAAGCCTGGAAACCACTTGAAAAATAGCGTTCTTCAATTTTCTGTTCTGTCTAAAGAAATTAAAAACACTAACTGAAACAATGAGACTGATAGATGAACTTATCTTCTACGTTAGATGGAGCACAGGCTTTGCAACACTATCAATATGACTGCTCAGTGCATCTACCTTGCATCCTATGGGAACACAGCACATCCGGCTCCTTCAACTGAGCACCAAAACGAAGTGCACAAGCGGATCCTAATTGGATGCTGAACTGATTGATTCTGAATTGGATTCATCTCAAATGGGATGAATGGGATAAAGTAAGCTTTTTACTGTGTTTATCAGCATAATTGTAGAAAATGTGCAGTCTCTGATATAGCAGTTGGCGCCTGGAACCGAAAAGATTGCCAAACTCTGACATAATGTGTTGTAGGAAATTCCAGCTACCGGTACTATTCAGAATTGCCTATTCTTTCAGTTCTGTCTTAAGAACAATTATATATAACTTGATTTTCTATATACTAATCAAAGTTAGTTAATTACAATACACTGCTCAATATATTTAATAACATTTGAGACCATAAGAAGAACAGCTGCTTCTATTAAAATATCCGTTTATAAAGGTGCTAGGTTTTATCAACATAGACTCTAATACCTGCTTGGCCTAAGCAATCTTAAATATCATCTTATATTATCTATTCTACTCTTAAGAATGGGTAATAATTAACAATTTTTAATGATTTCAGTTGTTTCATTTGGACATTTATTAAATCACTGCAGACAGCATATTTTTATTTGCATATAACATAGCTTAATTTCTCAGAGAAATCCGTAACTTTTCCAGCTAGCCAAAAGCTGGATGAAACGTGCTACAAAAATCATTACAATAAAAGTCACTGATCACAGAATCACAGATTTGGAGGTGGCAGCTAACAATTAAATCCAGCACCCTATTCAAAACATATATTCAAATTACAGGTAGTCCTCATTTAGCAGCCATAATTGGGACTGGTAACTCAGCTGTTAAGCAACGTGGTTGCTAAGACTGTACCTAGGAAGATTGGTTAAAGTTACTTTTTCGTTACTGGTCATAACTGCAAAAATCACTAAATGAGGCAATAAAGCTCGTAATGCTTTTCCCAAAAGATGACTGTCAAATCTCTGCATGCATTCAGCGGAGTCCACTATCTCTATATGTCAGTATCAAATCGGTCTTACATTACATTTCTTAATAATGAACTAGAACCAACCTTCCCATAACTTAAGTGGATCTTTCTGTATGTTGAGGTGACGAAGAACAAGTCTTGATCTTCTTATGTGTGACTTTTTAAAAAGTATCTGAAGATTGCTGTCATACCTATTCTTAGTTTTCTCTTTTAACACTAAATTCTTCAATTATTTCTATACCCTTGATTGTGATTAAACAACTTTTAAATACAATCTTTATAAAGTTAATAGTTCTAATCTCTTTAATTGGAAGAGAAATCAGTTAGAGGTTTTATTCATTAATAATATAATATTATTTTCATATTGTTCTGGTGCAGTTAATGAAAGAAAAAAATAAAATATTAAAAATGGACATTCATTTTTCACTGTGAATAATGTGCTGTTTTTTCAAAAAATAAACATATTTAAGCTTTGAGAAAATATGCACAAAAACATTGCAATATACAGTACTTAATTTTGTTATGAAACTTGTCCTTGATTACAGATTTTAAATCATAGAGAGTCATGATTATTTCTTTTGCTTAAAATATATGATATAGGTCATTTAAAGTGTTGATGATGGAAGTAGGATAAAGCATCTATGATAAATAAAGAAATATATCTCTTTCTCTCCCCTTTCTACCCTCAATATTGTTTAGCGGCTTAGATGTTTTTAACTTATAGTTCAAATGTGGGATAGCATATCTAAGATAACAGAAATACTACACAAATATGGTCAGCATTCAATTAAGTGTCAACCGTCTTGATGTAGCAGTGCAAAATTAAAATACACTAATTTTCTACAGGACAAGAAAGCTGACTGTGCTAAAGATACCAGATGAAATCATACAGGGATAAAAAGCCCTATTTACTGGAAACCTCCTGTGTAGTGACTTAGCCATCTCACTCTTCCTTCCAGCAAAATGAGATTGGTTGCAATTAAATACCTTACACACACACACACACACACACACACAAATATTGGCGATCTCTTTGCCCCTCCAGAAAGACACTTCCAAGCACCTCTGGGTTCCAACTCCCTAATCAGTTCAAAGATTGTTCTGAAGAATGAATAAAAAAAAGAAACAGTAGTTTGTCTAAATATAATCCAAAATATAACTGTTAATCATATAATTTTATTAGTGCAACTCCTGATTCTTTCCATATGTTGTTTACTGCCCCTCCCTTCTTCAGAAAAAACTGAGTGCTTATGTTTTTGAGCTTACAGTGGAGATATATTCATATATAAACTGAGAGGTCTTGAGTTCTCAGGCCCTGAGCTACAGTAACCAGCATCAGTTAACAGGGACCAGGAGATTACTTCCTTACGGTATGTGACAGTTGTCTTTTTTACATTAAATAAACGTAATGCAATGATATGTCTTTTGTCCACTGGCAGTGTTCAGCCAAATTCCAGAAAGCACTCCAAATCACAAAAGTCGTCCATCTGCAAAAGGAATGCATCAACTTCATTGTTTAAACTCTGGGAAAATACTGGGATTCTAAGGCAAGCAACACCAGCTTACTCCACTTATAACTCCCCTATTTTCCTCTGATTAGTTTGTGCACACAAATATGTTAGGAAGGCATGGCAGGATACTTTCTCATTGGAAACCCAACAAACCCTCTCTTGGGGAGCCTGACCTGCCCTTGGGAAAATGCCAAGTGGATTTCACACATAACTTATGCTTACAGCTGTGTGGTAAAACGCTCTGGGGTCTTCAATACAGCTAATCCTCGACTTACAGCAGTTTATTTAGTGACCATTCGAGTTGCACTGAAAAAAGTGACTTATGACCATTTTTCACACTTACGACCATTGTAGCATTCCCCCATGGTCACGTGATTTACATTTGGATGCTTGACAACTAACTCACATTTATGACGGTTGCAGTGTCCCAGAGTCATGTGATCTCCCTTTTGAGACCTTCTGACCAGCAAAGTCAATGGGGAAAGTCAGATTCACTTAACAACTGGTGTTACTGATTTAACTGCAGGGATTCACTTAGCACAGTGGTTCTCAACCTTTGGGTCGGGACCCCATGTGGGGTCGATCGACCATTTCACGGGGGTCGCCAAGCAAGGCTGTCCGCCATTTTTTTTTTGTCCGACATTTTTCCCCCTTTTCCGGCGGGTGCCTTACCTCCCTTGGGCTGGGCCAGCTGGTGGTCGGCCTGCTCCATCTCTGCCGCTTGCCAGCTATGCCTCGGCCGGCGCAGGGGGTGGAACCACGCATGCGCGGTGCTCCCGGGCAGGGAAAGTCCTCGACTTACGACCGGTTGGGTAGTCCTTGACTTACGACCGGTTTAGTCCTCGACGTACGACCGGTTTAGTCCTCGACTTACGACCGGTTGGGGGTTGCGGCATTAAAAAGGTTGAGAACCACTGTTTTAGAGCATAGTTAAGAATATCAACCACGCATGCGCGGCGCTTCCGGGCAGGGAAAGTCCTCGACTTACAACCGGTTGGGTAGTCCTCAACGTACGACTGGTTTAGTCCTCGACTTACTACCGGTTTAGTCCTCGACTTACGACCGGTTTAGTCCTTGACTTACGACCGGTTGGGGTCGCGGCATTAAAAAGGTTGAGAACCACTGACTTAGCAAATGTGGCAAGAAAAGTCGTAAAATGGGGCAAAACTCACTTAATAACAAATTTCTCACTTAGCAACGTAAACGTTGGGCTCAACTGTGGCCGTAAGTTGAGGACTACCTAAGTACACTCCCATCGGTTCCACACGAGCTCTCTTGCCTTCCACCGCCCCGCCACGACCTTGCGGGGACCAGCCCTGCCTCGCTTCACGCTTTACTTGTAAACAACTTCTCACTAGAGCCGGGCGCGCCGTGCGTGGACGCTCCGGGGACTGGCAGCGAGAGAGAGAGAGAGAGAGAGAGAGCTGGGCGGCTGGGCAGGTGACACAGCAGGGATGCCACTGAAGCGGAGCGGGCGGCGGGCAACGCCAGCCCGCTTTCCCTTTGCCAAGAGGGGAAGGAAGGAAGGAAGGAAGGAGTAAGGCGGGAGGGGGGGGGGATGCGTGAGGGTGAGCCCCCCCCCTAGGAGTTGTCCACCGCTTCCCGAAGGGTCGGTCGAGTCACCTGGATGTGGCAGGAGATCTCCGAGTCGTCCAACAGACGGATGGTGCATTTCATCTCCTGGCTCAGCGACCTGATGCTCGAGCTCCGGAACCGGATCATTTTCATGGTCCTTCTGCCCCCTCGCCTCACGCACTCGCAGGGAGCGAACATGCACCGCAAACCCGAACCGGGGGCCGGAGACCAGCCCTGCCGCTGCTTCGGCCCCTCCTCGCCGGGAGGGAAACCCCGAGAAAGGGAGCGACCCAGCGCCTGCCTCGTGGGCCGGCGGGCAACTCAGCCCCGAGGAGGCGGCGCCGGCTCCGCTTGCTGCTGTTGCTGGGCGAACATCCTGGAGAGGGAGAAAGGGGGGGGGAGCTCCGCTTCGCTTGCCTCGCCGAAGGCGGCGAGTCCACCTCTCGCTCCACAGAGGGCCACCGCCGCCGCCGCGTAAAGCGGCACGCGCAAGCTCTGGGTTGGGGGGGTTGGGGGGAGACGCTGTGCCTTGGGGGCGCGAGAGGCGACGGGCTGGCGAGGCTCCTGCTGACTGCGCGGCTGCGTCAGGCTCTGCGCTGCTCTCCTCTCCCGCCTCAGCAGCATCCTCGGCTCGCCGCTGCCCCTCCCGCAGTCGCATTTCCCCCCCCCACCTTCTCGTGAACCTCCCGCGCTTTCCCTTGCTTGCTTGCCTGCCTGCCCGCCCGCTTTCCCCTCTCTTCCCCGTTTCCCTTTTTCCATCGTGCCCTTAGCTGCCTTCTTTCGATGCCCTCCCCAGTTGTCCGGGGTGCTTTCCAACGAAGCTTCCTTCACGAAAGGTTGGAGGGTCCAGACAGCCCTGCCTTCCATTTGTAACCAGTATATACCCACGCTTCTTGCCTCTGTATCTTTGCGTGGTTAAAAAAAAATAAATCCGGCGGGGTGAGATGGAATACAAGTACGCCGTTGTTGTAATAGCTGACCTAAAATCAAAAATAAAAAATATCTGATCATGTTTCTTCTATTCTCTCCCTGGTCTCCGAGTGCTTTTCTTCACCTTTTCTATCACCCAAATATCCCTCGTTTTCCCTTTCTTTCCCTTTCTTCTTTCGCTCCATTTGCTTGTCGCTTCGGTGCTTCCAAAGAAGAGTATTATTCTGCAGTTGCAGTAACTCGTTAATTTAATTTTACTATGTTTTATAATCTTTGTCTGCTTTCTTATACCTTCTATTTTTTTTTTCTTAATGCAAACGTGGATTGAAAAGGAAATATGGCATAGCTGCCCACCTGCAGAAGGGACTTTGGTTGATAGTGCAAGGTGCCATCTATCCATAGAAGGATCTTTCCTGTCACGATTGCCTCTTCCTCCTTTTCCTTCACATCCTTTTTTCATAATTTTATGAGATGATGAAGATCATGGCTCTAATTATTATTTTCCATCTTGCTATTTGTCTTTTTTTTTTTCCCCTAAGAACCAAAGTAGGTGGGACAATAATGCCAAATGGGAGCAGAGTGCATTATAAGAAGGACAGGACCTGGAGTTTCTAATGGAAGGAACGGGGAAGTTGTTACTCTGATTATCAGTTGGGAGAATTCTGCAGTGGTGAATTGAAGAGCTGTCAATCTACTGATCCAGCCATTCATGAATTAACATTGGAATATGCCACATGGCTTTGGTGGGCCATAGTTGATTTTTATCCTGCCTTTATTGTCTCTTTTAGATTACGGAAATCTTCCAACTTCCTTGCAAGGTATGCCTTGAGGCTGCCCTTGGATGGTGTTTGAATAAATGAGAAAATACTCCTACTTTTTAAGCGTGGCTACCACATGGAATGGACTTGAAATGAAGGCAACATCCTCGGGACAAAGCTGAAAAGAAATTTGTTACTAGGGCAGCGGTTCTCAACCTATGGGTCGTGACCCCATTTGGGGTCGATCGACCATTTCACGGGGGTCGCCAAGCAAGGGTGTCCGCCATTTTTTTCCCCCTTTTCCGGCGGGTGCCTTACCTCCCTTGAGCTTGGCCAGCTGGTGGTCGGCCTGCTCCGTCTCTGCGGCTTGCCAGCTACGCCTCGGCCGGCGCAGGGGGCGGAACCACGCATGCACGGTGCTCCCGGGCAGGGAAAGTCCTCGACTTACGACCGGTTGGGTAGTCCTCGACTTACGACCAGTTTAGTCCTTGACCTACGACCGGTTTAGTCCTCGACTTACGACCGGTGGGGGTCGCAGCATTAAAAAGGTTGAGAACCACTGTACTAGGGAATGTTTATGCCATACTTAGGAACAATGAGGATTGGGCCTTGGAGGAAAAAAAAACTATATCACTTTAGAAAGTTCTGGGGAAACAGCATAGTGAAAATTAGGAAATTTAGTTGGTGTTGTTTGTGAAATACTTTAAGCCTCTTCTTCAGCTAGTATCCATCATTTGGATGTTATTTCTCTTAGCTTTTCTCCCTTATCCTTTATGTTTCATTTTTTTAAATTCTCTGCAGGTCTTTAATTTTTGATATTATTTCCCTGTGGCAGGATAGTTTTTAACCCTTTTATTGATTTTAATTGCCTGTTAAAAGAAAAGGGTTGTTGCAATTTATTGGAGGAAATACAACATTAACTTTCTTACTTTTTTATTGTCCTTGCCTTCTTTGTTCTTCGTTTTCTTCTGTTTTTTTCTCCCTGTCTTTACTGTTATCCAGCTGCCCTATGTATCCAAGAAGCAGCTTAACAGATATCACGTACAATACGCTTGGCAACTGTCAGGGTCAAGCTTTTCCCAGTTCCTAAAAATGTCTTGTTCTGCCAAGTGGAGGATGTAAATCCTGATAATATTAGCTTCTTGGCGCCTTTTTTGGCACCCAAATCAGGCTTCAGTAAATGAGGTCAAAGCATTGTATTGTGAATGGCAAAGGGTTAGAATATAAAGTATGGATGAAGAATCGTGCTTAGTTTAGTTCACTTCCCCACATCTTATACGCAGGGAAAATATATGCTAAATAATTATTAAGCCCTTCCATAAACATTCAGTATTCACACAGTTGTAAGTCAATCAAGAGCTAAATATTCCTGACAAATACAGAATAAAAGTGTAAGAAAATAGTGGAATAAATAAAAAACAATATCCTCTCCCTGTGTAACTATAGTAGTGTTAGGTTTAAAATATATTATTTCAAACATATGGAAAACTTTCTGTTGTATTGACTCTGGAAGAGAAATTTGAAGGCCCATGAAGATTTTTCAGCTAATATACCAGAAAGATCATTGTGTTGCATGCTTAAAATGTCTTTGAGGGTGTCTCTATATTTTGCTATTCAATCGTATGTTCAATGTTTATTTCAACAAAATCTATACAATTTATAAATAAGAAATAAGAGCCACTTTTGATGGTATTGCTATTTTGGGATTGACATTCTGAACCCATATCCCAATAATTCTGCTCAATTGTTCAGCACGTGTACCCTATATTTACTTAGCCATCTAACTTTGATATTTCACAGCGGCAGAAAAATATACTTAGTCTGCTGACAGTTTTATTATGAGTAATTTCCCCCTCCCCCTTTGAAAGGAGAAATAATCAAAAGAATACCATTCACTTATTGAACTGTACAAGTTTCTAGAGAAGTATTGTGGGCATGTTATTCTGCAGCAAAAAAAGTCTTAAAAGACTCGCATTTATTATCATGGAAGCTTTTGTGGATCACAGGCTACTTCATTAAATGGATGTAATGACGATGTTAACACATCGTAATTTGAAAGCTGTGACACTCATAAAATAGCTGAAAAAATGAGTGCTTTTATACTTCATCAAAGGTGCTTCCTTTTGGTTGTACCCACTGGATATAAAAGTGAGATTTACCTCAGAGAAGCAATTTAATATTTTTATAGCACTAGGGAAAATAGTGCTTTTTTCCTTCAAGATCTTTTAAACATTCTTTTAAAACTATTTTATTCTCTATTCTCTATTTTTATTTATTAATGCTATTTTATTATAATTGTTTAAAAATATTTCATTTATTGAGCAAGGCATTTTATTTTATACATCATTTAGAATCTGTATTTTATTTTAAAATTACAAATTAATAAGATCCTAAATTAAATAAAAGTAACTTTATCCATTATGTTCATATTTAAAAAAATAAATGGAATTAACAGAACCAAATATGCTAAAGTTAGTTATCACATATAAGACATTTAAACAGACTCATTTTAAGAATCAGATACATTATACTAGAACAATTGGTAGAAGCAATACAAACTGCAATTTCAGTTAAATCCCTCATGTAAAAATCTGAATGACTATTAGATTTCAGCAAAGAGATATAGATAATGCTAATTCCTAAGTACTATGTACTCTTCATCCAGGTTTTTTTTTGTGGTACAGTATAACTAATTTCAAAGAGAATTCTAGTCTCACATATTGTACTATAACTATATATTTAGGGTGCAGAAATCCACTCTCTCACTAGATGGCAATATTTTTGTCATTATCCTTATTTTTGCAATTGAAATCTGGTAGTCCTAGCACAGTGGTGGCGAACCTATGGCACGGGTGCCAGAGGCGGCACTCTGAGCCCTCTCTGTGGGCATGTGCGCCGTCGCCCCAGTCCTAGGCCTCCAGCTGGGTTTTATAAAACCTTTTCGCTTTAGGCCTCCACCGCCCTGTACAAAAAAAAAGGTTCAATCAGTCAATTTCAACTTCTCGTGGGGAAAAAAAAGATCTTGCAAAGTTGGAATTGATTGATTGAACTTTTTAGTCCACCCAGTCTGCTGTTATCACCGTAGCCACGCCCACCCAATGGGCCACACCCACCCGGTACCCGACGATGCATAAGTGGGTTTTGGGTTGCAGTTTGGGCACTTGGTCTCTAAAAGGTTCACCATCACTGTCCTAGCATATTATAAAAGATTGGCAGTGATATTCTGGGAGAGTTGTGTTTTTTTTCAAATATTATCCAGTGTTATTGATTTTCTAAATGAGGAAAAACTCCCAGAAGGAAATAACGGCTAAGCATCCCGCAGCATCAAGTTTGAGAAAAGAAAAGTGAAAACGACAAATTTTATAGACTTATCCTCATTCCCAAATGGGACATTTAGAAAAGCAGAATGTGAATAATGTTTATCAATAAAATGAATTTGCCTAAAGGATTTATTACCATATAAAATGTGCCATGGGATTCTCGGTGGCCTGTACACTTCATTCATCCTGA